GGGGGGGGTGGGGGGGGGAGGGAGGGTTGGAAAAATTGAATTAAAAAAAATTCTGATCAATTAAGATCGCTTATCGTAGCTCCATTGTTACAATTGTCGAATCCCAAACGTTATTCCTTTGAATTCTTCGATACCAGCATAGGAATACGACTCTACCCAGGCTTTTGTGTCAAAGAACAATGAAAGGCGTGTTTTCTTGTTTTGTGAAAAAAAAAAAAAAAAGAAAAATCTCACAAAGCTTTTCACGTAATCAATCCCGCGGCGTTAACAATACAAGTAGAGTATAGGATATGTAGGATTTCAGAAAACAAAAAAAATTTTTTTTACAAAAAAAAAATTTTTACATTTCAACTTAATATGCGTCTGCGTGCAAGAATATACGTACAATTGTCAGATGACGTGAAATTGTAATCAAGCCGAAATACGTTAAGCGCTCGACTCACGAGTCGCCTGAGAAACAATGGTGGTCCAGCCCAGGACTCCAGCCTCACTGTAAGAAGGGTACCTGGGCGTCTAAGGCGATATATTAAAGAGAAAGAGAGAAATAAGAGAGGTTGAAAAAAAGATAGAGACCAAGAGAGACGATCGACCACTTAGGAAATACTCGGTAGGCCAAGCTATGCCTATCCCGTAGCTCGATCTATGGGTACCTCGAGAAATATGAAAGAGCAGCCCTGGGCTGGCCACGCGGCTTCAGGGCTGGGAACGCGGTAACAGGAGCCCCGGGAATAACGAGGAATATGACAATAAGAGGAGCAAGCGGATCTTGGGTATCCGCCACGAAGGATTCCGAGGTCTACCAGGAGCAGAGCGCATTATCACGGGAATCCCTCATTCAGGACGCGCATCCCATTCAGCGGAACCGTCGCGGCCGGAAGTCGTATCCTGAGAGTAGACAAAGAGGCAAGAAGAGGCGGCCGGGAGAGAATAGAATGAAATTGGTCCTGGAACGAGAGAGGAGAATTGTCGAGAGACACTGTGAAGGGAATTCACCCCCGTTTTAAATAAGACATATATATATATATATATATACACACGGGGGTTATTCCGTATTCTATTCCTCTGTTTCATCCGTACCTTTTGTCTCGCATCCTGAGAGAGAACCAGCAACCAGCAGTATGAATGTCGAGGTACCAGCTATAATAGATCGGATGATCCTGAGGTAGGTCAGTCCTCCATTGCTGGTATCGTAAAGACGAGAGAACGAATCCCTCTGTCGTATCCAATTATAATAAAAAGGTCTTCCTCCTACTGCCGCTACTGGACTCGCATGCATCATTTTCGGAGGCTGGATAATAGGCCCGCGAGGTAACGGCGAGGCGACCGGCTAGTTAAAACTTTATCAATTATCAGTTGCCTTATTCAGTTTTATAACCGCAACGAAGGTAATATATCTTACGTGACAGATTCAAGATTGTCTTTGGCATCCACCATTTTGAATATCTATCCGAGCACTTGGATACCGATTGAATTGGAAGTCTGAGTTCGGACTTGTGACAGCTGTGAATCATTTTACTTGTTAAGGTTCTATGGTAGCTTTCTTTTTTTATTGATTTTTTTGGGAACTTTTTACATTTCCGAATTTACAGTCACGATTCACGCTCGGTGGGACGAATGGGTGAAAATTTGTGGTCGCCATGGAAATTCGACAAGAAAAGTGAAAAACAATTGGGCGTCTCGAGAATTGCTTTTCCTGGTGCTAATTTATATTTGTTCATTCACCGATTTTACTTTTCTGCTTATTCTCTTAATGCGCCTTGGCTGCATTGCCGTGTATAAGTACAATTCACAGTTCCGCGAGTCTTCTTATTAGCCTCTCTCTTTTTTTTTTCTTTTTTTTTTGTACCAAGAACCGTTTCACGCCCGGTGCAATTAACCAGGCTGTTTTCTGTTTCTGCGTTTGTCATTTGTTTTCGCCTCAGCCGGAATGCAATCAGGTGCACCAGGGAAACAACAGTTGGTACCAATTGGCCCCTTAGCGATTCTTTCGTATTTCAGCCAGCACCGAGTCAGACGATCATCTGGATTTCTTCTTTCTTCCCAGCCTCCTTTCTTCTCTTGGCCTTACGTTTGATTCTTCTTTAAAAAGTTTCGCCAACCCTCCGATTCTCATTTACCAACTGAACCGGTACACCCACCACTTTATTTTCGGACTACCGAGAAACTTCGTTCTCTCTCTCTCTCTCTCTCGCTCTCATGCATCTTAAATATAACTATCCTGCTCAAGGCGAATGCAACTCTTTCTCGAGCTAAGAATTTCTTGATGCACTTCCGATGCATTGCAATAAGTGCAATGAGAATTATTACAGTGTATAGCCAATTGGTCACGTACAAGGGTTCGTCGACCCTTTGAACTCGCATCGATAAGGTCATTCGAACAGGCACTGAAAAAAAATATCTAAATCGTTACTAGCATCGCCTTATAAAATAAATATAGCTGAGTGATTATTGAAAAAGAGTTGTCTATTAAAAAAAATTTTTTTTCTCCCTCGATATCTCGCATTCCATAACATACGTCACGGTACGATCTTACTTCTCAAGTTGGACGCCTGGCAGGACAAGTGTGCGAGCGTTGTTGCCGTTAAAAGGCACGCACGGTTCGATAAGGCAGGAGACCCATTGTTGCTTCGGCTCGCAATTATACAATTAATCATCTAATTAGGCTTTCATCCCCCTCCCCGTCCTCCCCCCACGCCCTCAGCTCAGTTCCAGCACACAGCGATTGTTTGACAAATATCCACGGTCCGTTCCCGAGAATCGCGATCCGCCAATCGGGTGCCTTCCTCAGCCTGGGGCCACCGCCGATTGGTGCCAGGCGAACGAACAGGAGTCTCAAATCACGTAAATTAATATGCCCACCCAATTGCGTGACTCTGCCATCCCACGTTTCAATTCTTAAATCCTTGAGGCTGATTTTCAGTGAGCGATCGCGTCGACGTATGGAAACAAAATTCTCGGCGTTTACTTCGGAGCGCCTGAGGATAGACAAGCCTTTATACACCCCTCTAGGCGGTATTGCCTATAATACCAGACCCAGCCCCGGGGCCTTAAGGTCCCAAAATATTGCCTAGTGCGTTTCATGGGAATGCTCGTAACTTCGGACACGAGCCTTAAGGCTGGATCACACGTGGCAGTAAAATCCTTTGTATACCAAACACTGTTTCCTCAAGTATGCGGAAGCCTATGGCGTACCCGAGGACTTCCGATACTACCCATATATACCAATAATAAAGTATATTCAATGCCCGTTCAAGTGCACCGTGTGTACGTACCTTAAGGCGAGTCATTAAATCTTCAGTGTTTTTCGTCATGTCGTCGTCAACGACAATGCAACGCGGCATCGGAAAAGACGCGAGGAACCCGCGACGAATCGACGCGTGTCCACGCATGAGTCTGACTCTCCGCAAAGGGTACTTGGATTTTCATTTTTTTTTCTCAAAATTAAAAACTTTTTTTTTTTTTTCATTTTCCCACTTGCACATACTTCTGGCTTATATACGTCAAGTCAATGTCTCCTTTGACTCCTTGAGCAGCGTCTCTTCCGCGAACGTGATGACACGCTAAACTAATGACGACAATCTATCCTGACAATCTGGTACTATTCATTGCCATACACATGTTCCTTATGTTACTATACAATAGTCACTAAAACCAGGGTGGCCACCTTCGAGAAGCTACATAACCCTCGCGTGCCTAACGTTGCTTTACGAGTCTCATTTCCCGCAACGTCATTCCACCGACCGCCACCACCGTCATCAGTGGCAGCACCATCGCATTACCAACCCAACCCCCCTGACCCCACTTCATCCCTTAAGGATTTTAACCATCCCTTACCAACTGTAACGGAATTCCAGACCCAATACCAATTAGCCTATTTTCGAGTCTGTCGATACTGCGTTCTACGTCTCTTGCGGGGACTTTTTTTTTTTTTTTTTTACAATTTTTACGTTTTCCCATAATTCTCAGCTGGTAACAAATTTTGCGAAAAATTTTTACTTTGATCTTTTTTTTTTCGCATGGAAAGTACATGGGGGTTGCTTGGGGGTGCTGGATTTAAGTAGAGGGTCGCGTCCGCAAGACGTCATGGTCACGACGTCGCGTTAGTGCCAGTGGGAAGTAGTCGATGTAGGAATGACACGAGCGGTTATCTCAGTGGCCACGCGATATTGTCATCAGGGTAGGAAGGGTAAAGTAGTTATGGTCTGCAGGGTAGCGACGATAAGATCTCCTTCGTAGGCCGGGCATAAGTCGACAGTGGCCTTTCTCTGCCGCCCCTGGTCTCTCCTCGTGACTTGGCCTGTTGCGACCATTTCCCCGATACAGCCAAGACCCAGGATCGAGCCGCAACCACCCCCCCCGCGACCCATGCCGCTGCCCTCGCATTATCTAGCACGCGAATTAGCCCTGTGAGATTTCTTGTAAGACTGTCAGCCCAGGATTCTTTTGAGTGCTGGCCTATTTCTTTTTTTTTTTCTAAATAAAACGAATATGCACGTAAGACCGATCCGTCGTATAAGGGGTGACTTTTTAATACCATTAAGACGACCATTCCGATTTTTCGTACGATTGCAATTCTTATCGGACTTCGATTATACCGATAGTCACGAAAAATGTATGTCTTTATCGTGTAACAGTTACGACTGTTGTCGCCGGGACGCCGGAGCGTCACCGAACGAAAAATAAACGAGTATATCCGAGAGGGTCCGATTCGATAAAGTTTGATGGGAAATAAATGTTTGTAAAATTTTTTCTTAATTTTAAATTTTTCTTTTATTTTAGTATTGTCAAGATTTTTTTCTTTCATCAAACCACTCTCGTACACTTGTCCGTTATCTTGATACCGAATTATTTGAAACACATGGTATATATACCACGGGCACTCTTATACCGACGCTACCTAGTCTCACTTCTCGAGGACGTAGTTTACTACGGTATTAAAGATAGAACGAGGACCCCGTGAAGTGGATGATTTTGACTCATGAGAAAATCTTCATCTCGCGATTACTTGGGACGAGCCACGTACACACCCCGCATCCTACGTCCGTATACCGAAGCCATGGACCATTTTCTCTTCCTTGTGTCTCTTTTTTGTTTCTCATCCACAACCAGTACAGTCAACCAACGAGCACTGGGATATATGATGTTTTATATAGTGTACAGTGACATAAAGGTATGTAAGCACTAAGGGTAAGTGTACGTGTTGTCGTCTGGAGGCACGTAGGCACTGTTGCGTCTATTTCGTCCGAGAGTCTCGTGCATTGCTTCATTGCCAGGCTGTTGATCCTTAACTTGGACCCTTTACGAACAGACGAATCGAGTGAAAAATTTATTATTAGTCGCGAAGAAGAAAGTCTATTGAAGAAATAATCGTTAGGCGTTACGCGGGTTGTACAGGAGTGCCGAATGAAAAAAGAAAAAGCTAAGCTCCAAAATGTATCGCGCACAATGGCCTTATCTTTGAGTTTGATTTTATAATACTCCGACTATGCGTATAGCAGAGCGGTTCGCGGGATTCATTCATTCCTTTAAGAATCGTTTTGTTCCCACATTCCCCGGTACCCACATTCAAAATCGTCGCTCACGTTGTCGGCACTGGCTGCGCTATTCCCCCGGGACACGCAGGTCCCGTCGTTTGTTCTTCGGCTGGGAACAGCGAAACGCGAGACAAAACCGTAAGAGCGAGGCGTGTGGCACGAATCGGGTTTTAGGGACTGTGTCAAATGACAGAGACTGCAGGACTCTCGGATACGAGAATCATTGACGTTTCACGACGGACCCGGGAACGTCGTTCTCTCGGAGCGGCATTGCCGAGCTGAGGTCGAAGGTCATAATGGAAGAAAAGAACTCGTGCCGGTTTACCCTTCAGTCGAATTACACGCCTTTATCTCCCGTGTCTTCGCAATCGTCCGTTAGAGTTTTATCTCGGGGATTTCTCCTATGTAGGGCTAATTTTAATTGGCTTTCATTTAGGTCTATATATGTATATATATATTCAGATACACATGCATATACCGTGTGTGCACTTTTTTTTCGGATGATCCAGTACATGCCTACACGAGTATCCCGTAGAATAGCGTGGGAAAGAGTCTCTCCCGAAGGAGCAATTACACGCTTCGGTATACGTTCCTCGGGACCTTATGTATTCCCATATGCATACGTGCGATCACATATGTGCGAATTTCAATAGACTAGGACGAATCGGTGGTACGAGAGTTTCGGATCGCTGTGGAATGCGTTGGTGTCTCGAAGATGTTTTTTTTTTATGATTTTTTTTTCACAACTTCGTTCATTCATTTTTATCCGAAGCTTACGGGCTTTTCGGAAAGGCGGGAAATTCAAATCGTTGATAAATCGGGCTGTCTTCGATATCCAAGAAACTCGTGTACCCGTATACCCGGTGGAACGTTCTAGAAATCGGCGAAGGGAATATATGTTTTTTCGTGGCA